TTCTGCTGAGAAATCAGCTGTTAACCTTATGGGAGTTCCCTTGTATGTTATTTGTCGTTTTTCCCTTGCTGCTTTCAGTCATTTTTCTTTGTCTTTAATTTTTGCCAATTTGATTATTATGTGTCTTGATGTGTTTCTCCTTGGGTTTATCCTGTATGGGACTCTCTGCGCTTCGTGGACTTGGGTGGCTGTTTCCTTTCCCACGTTAGGGAAGTTTTCAACTATAATCTGTTCAAATATTTTCTCTGGTCCTTCCTCTCTTCTTCTGGGAGCCCTATAATGTGAATGTTGTTGCGTTTAATGTTGTCCCAGAGGTGTCTTAGGGTGTCTTCATTTCTTTTCATTCTTTTTTCTTTATTCTGTTCAGCAGCAGTGAATTCCACCATTCTGTCTTCCATGTCACTTATCCATTATTCTGCCTCAGTTATTCTGCTATTGATTCCTTCTAGTGTATTTTTCATTTCCGTTATTGTATTGTTCATCTCTGTTTGTTCTTTAATTCTTCTAGGTCTTTGTTAAACATTTTTTGCATCTTCTCGATCTTTGCCTCCATTCTTTTTCCAAGGTCCTGGATCATCTTCACTATCATTATTCTGAATTCTTTTTCTGGAATGTTGCCTGTCTCCAGTTCATTTAGTTGTTTTTCTGGGGTTTTATCTTGTCCCTTCATCTGGTACATAGCCCTCTGCCTTTTCATCTTGTCTGTCTTTCTGTGAATGTGGTTTTTGTTCCACAGGCTGCAGGGTTGTAGGTTGTAGTTCTTCTTGCTTCTGCTTGGTAATTCTATTTTTAATTTTTTGGTTTCCTTGTGTTTTGCCAGGATCAAGGAAAGGAAGGACTGGGTCCATCATGTGCTCCTTCTTGGCCTTTTAGGTATCAGGGTGTCAGGCCCTTTGCTAGGGTTGATCTTGACCTTGCCTGGGAATACACAGGTCTCTGCATTTCTGTGGTCTCCCTGGAATCTTCCACTTTATGACACTCACCCTCAGTTCTAGTCTCAAGTGCTTAACCAATGTAAGACAGAGACAATCTTGCAGGTTTTTCTCCTCTAGGACTTGCACAGAGCCCAAGAGTTTATCTGGTCCTGCTAGCTTGTAGGGCTGAGCAGCTATTCAGCGCAGGAAAGGGAGATAGATTGAAGTTGGTAGTGGGGGAGAAGAGAGGTATAATCAAGCCACATCTTCCCAGAATCATCTGCTAGTTTCCTCTTCTCTATGATAGCTGTGCCAACATTCATTGGGTTTGGAGGGTTTAGCTGTGTCCTAAAACACAGACTTAATTTTTCTTCATGTTGCCTAGTAATTTTCATTTAAATTAAGGAGTTTTACACATCAGAATTGGTATTTTACCTGTTGAGACATAAAAAGCCTAAACTAAGATAGTAATTTTTATCTGAAACTAAGCTTAGGCAATTGAAGTAGCGAAAATTGTTATAAATTAAACCAACTGTCAAGTATAGGCTCATTTCAGCTTTCCTGGTGATTTAGTTGAGTTTTCTTAGGGAAGCCCCCAATCTGTAGTGTTTCTAAAACATAATATTCATGTATACTGAATACATAATACATGAATACCAATACAGTGTTAATAGTAAAAAAGTCTCTTTCTAGTAAAAGCAAACCATGTGTGTATATGTGTGTGTAAGCAATAGTGGTTTAAAGGTCACATTAGAATTTTCTTCTCACTTAGTAAGTAAACAACCTTGTTTTGTATAGAACTAAGCTGAGGCTAAAAGGAGGAGCGCTTTGATTTTTTTTTTTTATCCCTTGTGACCTTTTAATGACCTTTGGATGCAGACTATAGATAAAGAATATTCTGAAGGTGAAAGAGAAAAATTCCTTGGGGGTATTTTTCAGGTATGTTTTTGTTAAGTGTTTAACATCACTGAATTCTCAGATCTTACATATTTTTATGACACAGAACACATACTCTAAATGCAGGTGTATTCCTTTAACTGCAAGTATTTATTTAACAAATTTCCTCTCAAGTCTTCTGATGTCAGACACAGTATGACAGTAGTTAAGGATCTGTCATCGTTCCCATTAAAAACCTTATTGTTTAGGCTTTGCTTCCTTGACTGTTTCAAATTACATCTAGCTGAGACTTGCCAAAGAAGTTGTCAGCTTAGATATGACTTCGATTTTGAAAAACTGTTGAAAATAGGAAAGCCATTTATAGTGACAGAAAAAAAGAGAATTTGGCTGGCATCAAATGTCTTTTCTTGCTGAAATATACTTGTTCATGAAGTTTTCCAAACAATTGCAGTATGGATTAGTACATTTTGACACTTTAAAAATAAGCATACTTTAAAATGGGATAGATAATTAACTGGAAAAATATATGTCTCAGTGTATATTAGAAATGTTTCCTGGCTTCATTTTATCACAAGTGTCCAATATGTCACTATGATAGGATTGAAATGGCAAGATTCTATTTATACAGAATATGAATCAGGAACATCTCCAGAAACATCTACCACAAAAAGAACATTTGCATAAGAATATGCATTTTCATCTCTTTGGTATAGTCAGGGAATTAGGTTAAAACTATAGTTTTTTTGTATAATGCTTATATTCAGCATAAAGTAAAACTCAATAGGTTAATCAGTAATTAGATCTCTCAAGAAAAGACTTTTCTGAATTGTAAAACTCTAACAGAATCACCCAGAATGCAGTTCAGAGAGATAAAGAGATGGGAAAATAGAAGAGAAATTAAGAGGCATGGAGGAAAGAATTAAAAGCTCCAACATTTATCTAATAAGAGTTCTAAGAGAGATTAGAGGGAACGGGGCAGGGTTAATATTCTAAGAGATTATGGCCAAAATTTTTTTTTTCAGTATTGAAGAAAGACATGATTCCTCAAATATAGCAAGCAACACTAAGTTGCAAGCAAGATTTGAAAAACAAATCCATACCTAGAAAATCTAAAAACTACCAGAAAAAAGAAGTGAGGTTCTTATTCTTTTTTAGGTAGAAAATTTTACTGATGACAGGCTTCTCACAGCAAAAAGTAGATGCCAGATATCAGTTAAATAATTTTTGCAAAGTCCTATGGGGAAGCAAGCTGGGATTCCATTCCCAGCTAAAATATTGGTCAGGAAAGAGTGTAAAATGTAGATAT